AGACCAGGGCTCGAACCCATGTCCTCTGCATTGGCAGGCAGATTCTTAACCACTGCGCCACCAGGGAAGTCCTACCACGCTGTTCTGATTACAATAGCTTTATAGTAATACTGTCTGAAGTCTAGGTATGATACTTTTTTTTGCGATACGCGGGCCTCTCACTGTTGTGGCCTCTCCCGTTGCGGAGCACAGGCTCCGGACGCGCAGGCTCAGCGGCCACGGCTCACGGGCCCAGCTGCTCCATGGCATGTGAGACCTCCCGGACCGGGGCACGAACCCAGGTCTCCTGCATCGGCAGGCGGACCTCTCAACCACTGTGCCACCAGGGAAGCTCTAGTTACGATACTTTTGAAGCAAACAATTATTGAGCATTTAAAATATTATACCTGACTTTAAGTGAAATGCTTGCACTGGGATTGAGTTCCATTTAACTGCATTTTGTAACTGTGAATATCTGTTCTGTTTGACTTTCTGTATCTATTCAAAACAACGCAACTAAAATATTAATCTACTTTCCTGCTTTAGCAGTTACAGAATATCAAACGTGGAACCTATCTGCTGTGGACTGTGGTCATCATTCCAAACGTCGATCATGACTTCAGCGTAATGCAAGTGCTGAGGAGAGAATATTCTGTGGAATGTTTTAATGTAAAGCAAAACCAACCCCCAAAGAGGTTTTAAAAAATTCTCCTTTTAAAGTGAAATACAGAGAAAAGTTGTTTGTGCTACTACTTTGCCTTGATTTTAATCCAAAAGTAATGTGTGGAATATGCAATGCCACGACCTCCTAATGCACCCACTAGGTCCCAAAGAATAAATTCGCCTCCAAATTAGGACGCGTGCACTCGGAAGAGATTCTAACGTATTCTTTCGTAAATCAATGCTGTGTGGAGAAAAACTGACTTTTAGCTTGTCTTAAAGCTTCCAGAGGTGAACTTTCTAAAATCTGTGAGGGTGCGGGGAGGGAGGAGGGGACCACATACATTATGAGAATATAATCGATTATTTCAAACCCACTTTTCAAATATTTTTATTAAGTTGGAGAAAACGCTACCTGAACCGCTCTTGGCCTGCCGTGTCCCATATCTGCAACTTTACGTATTTACCACCAACATTTATTATCTTTGAGCCAAATTCCACTCCTATTGTGTGATTTGAGTCATCTTTGACTGAAAAAGAAAAAGAAATTTTATTTTAGAACATTAGGGAAACAGGCTTATAGATTTATACAAGTAACACTGAAATCAAGAGTGCTGTCAATGGAAAATGTAATTTACTGTCGCCATTCATTTCTCCAACAGTCAGATGCTAATAAGCGCTCACTGTTTTAAACAGAATACACACAGTTCCTGTTCTCAAGGAGGCAATAAAGCTTCTTCTCAAAACACCTAAACAAGCCATGTATTTGAAGCTGAGGCTTGGTGGCCACGCCATGTAAGACCACATCTACCTGACCACCGCTAAGGTTCTCGTGAATGGCAACTGCACAAAATACTGGGTACCATCTTGGAGGGCTTACTGCCCAGTGACAGACTGCAACTTGGCCAACGATAGTTTCAACTATTCGGACGAACATTCTAAAGAAACAGAAGTAAAGGGAAGGAGAGGCACCGTGGCCCAAGAAAGAAACTTGATGCTCACCCAAGATTAAGGGAAAAAGAAGAAAAGACAGAGTAAAAAATTCAGAACACACCCCAAACCAAGACCTCTATGCACATTACAGCTGTTGAGTTTCATGAACTCGAGTATTGTGTGTGGCAATCATTTGGAATGAATTTGCTGGAGAAATCAATACTGTCTGAATGGGCAGGGAGGTTGGCAAAATAAGTAGTTTGCTAAACCCAACTGGAATAAGCTGTCTTATAAAAGAAAATTTCTGTGATGTGAAAGGAAAAGAAAAAACAAATATCCTGGCTACACAGTCCATGGACTGGTTTATATTTTATAACTATAGGATAAAATTTAATTGTACCAGAAACCAGGGCGCCATCTGACAGCTGTGTTTGTTCATTGCTCCCTGGGGGCCTGGGGGAGGAAAGGGTCTGATTCCAGCAGCTTGTCTCAGGCCCAGACAGTGCAGACCGGCGTGGACATCCGCTGGTGCCCAGCTACTGGGCCAGCCTGGCGGGAGAAGCCTTCGAAGGCAGTAACGAAAGGCCAAGGGCATCCTGATTAAGACACAGCTACGAGAGCAATACAGTGAAGCCTCCTTACATCATTACTGTGGTCGTGAGGGGTGAGGGGAGGATGTGAAGGGAGAGTGTCCGCCGAGGCCGGGCACCTGGCCCAGCGTCCCCTCTTCTGGGATGGAACAATGCAAAGTCTGGGTAACTCGTACAGAACCCCAGGCCGCCCAGCGGGTGAATGCCTGTCAATTCAAGAGGGGCTGAGCCACGCTAGGTCCGTGTCACTACATGAAGTTTCCAACAAGCTCCTGGTCGATGGAAATGGAAGCAGCAGAAAACACTTCTAGAATCTTATTCTTCAGAGCTCTTTCCCAGGACACCCTTTGCTGCCTCTGTCTCCACCGCCCGCCACCTAATGCATCTCACGCATTCTTAAGAGGCGCTTCATTAAGTGAGATTAATTTTCTGTGCTCGGGCCTTCACCTGACTACCTCTAGATAGACAGGTCATTCTCCACAATTCTTTCCATTACTATATAAGCATGGCTTAATTTAAAGGACTTTCGAACCTACCGTCTTTTACAGTAGCTTGGAATACAAAATTCAACCTCTCTCACCAACACAGGGCAAGTCAACGGCACAAGATATTTTCTGTGGTCGAAAGGCCTGGGTTTGAGTCTAACATGCACCGTTCCTAGGTGACCATCCCAAGTGCACACACCAAGTCCTGTAAACCTGTTTATTTACCTGTAAAACAGGACTGATGACGATAGCTGCCTTAAGGACAACACAAGGCCGCTGGGGAGCAAATGCTATCTTATCCAAAATGTACAACTAGGGTTCTCGGGCCACTCCTGCCAGGAAACAGAATTCCACAGCATCATACTGTATTTTAGTGTCTGGGAAATGTACAGGACAACGCACTACATAATGAACAATGACCCACTACGCAACTGAAATGCTAAATAAAAAATCAGATTACTAAACGTTTAATAACATAAACTTTTTATGTCATTTAAAAATATTTTTAAACTATGACATTTTCCCTGGAAACGTATTCGGAAGTTTTGTCCTAAACAAATCTGCACAAGAGTGCGCTCTCGGGAGAAGACATGAAACAAGAAACAAGAAAGAAGCAAGAAACACTGACCATGTGACGTCACTTACATTTGTTTTCAATAAACTGATGAAGCAAGCAAGACTTGCCGGTCCCCGCGTTCCCAATAACCAAGAATTTAAACAAAAAATCTGAAAAACAGAAAGAGACCGTGAAACAGAACTTTAGAGCAGGTGCCGCGAACTTAGACTACAATCATAAAATTTAATGAAATCTCAGTTAATATAAAAAAGAGGTAACTGAATATTTTGTGAAAATGGCAATAAACACACTGACTTACCTTTCCAACTTTTCGATACATGGCTTATATGCTAACCCAGTGCCTTTTCAAACTGCTCTGGGGACAATTTCTTTTGATACTGGAAGTTTGAAAACTCCTCTTGTAATGACTGAAATCTCTTTGCTATTCAAATAAATACACACACAGTGACAAGCAAAAATCGCCTAGAAATTGCAATTTTTCTGTACAAAAGAAAAAACCTGGTAGACTTACAGGCTTTGAGAAGTCCACTCCTTTCTTCTTTCACAAACAGGTATAAGTTTTCCCTGCACTTGCAGACTTCTGTGGCCTTGCCTTCATTCCTGTGTCTATGACCTTTGGGAAGGCCGGCCTAAGCACAGGGGTTTGGGTCAGTACTCCGCGTGTGATATTTGTCCCATTCAATATAGAGAGAGCTCTTCACTTCTTCTTTACGCAGGGGAATAGATTTAATTTGGGATCCTACTTTCCATAAACTGGAACTAGAGGCTTCTAGAATGGAATCTGTGAATCGGAATGATGGGGCCTCGGTAGCCTGACACTGGCTTGGTGACTCCTTTTGCTTTTTCTGTTGGCGAAGAACTCTAGCTCTGTTCAGCCTAGCGCTGCAGGCACCAAGCCCCTCTCCACCCTCACACTTTGACCCCGACCCATGTCTGCTGACCCCCGGCTGCCAGGCTCAGCCCGTGGCCCTGAAGGGCCTGCTCCACATTCCTGGTTCTGTCGGGGGCACCTCTGAAGGTGTCACCTCCACACTCCTGTTTCAGACCCGACCACGCGCTCCCAGCCCTGGTTCCTTCCCCCCCACCACCCACCCAGCGAAGCACAAATGGTCAATTTGTTTGCTGGTGCTTGGTCCAGCCCTGTTCCTAAGAACTACATTCCTTATCACCCAAAGGTCAAGCCTATTCAACCTCTCGTGCTTTTCAAATAGTTACAGGCAATTAAACTTGCAGGATAGTGCTATTCACAATTGTTAGCATTTAAAAATACCTACAGTTTTATGCACCTCACTGCCTGTTTTGAAAGCATGCCACACCAGTGTTCATAACTAGTCACAGTCGCCAGAAGATGGAAGCCACCCAAATATCCATTGACAGATCAACGATAAACAAAATGTGGTACATACATTTTGTACCACATTGTGCATTGGAATATCATTCAGCCTTAAAAAGGAAGGAAATTCTGATACAGGCTACAACATGGATGACCTTTGATTGTGCTAAGTGAACTAAGCCAGTCACTAAAGGAGAAATACCAGAAGAGTCCATTTATATGAGGTACCCAGGGTGGTCGAACTCACAGAGACAGAACGTAGAAGGCTGGCTGCAAGGAGGCTGGGAGAGAGGAAGTGGGGAGTCAGGGTTCAATGGATATGTGTATCGGTTTGAGAAGATGAAGAAGTTCTGGAGATGGATGGCGGCGATAGTTGTACAACAATGTGAAGGTACTTAAAGCCACTGAACTGTTGATTTTAAAATGACAAATCTCATGCTACGTATATTTTACCACACATACAAAATAAAATACGCAAGTCTCATCATTGTCACCGAACAGCTTTCACAGCCCAAGAAATTAAGATTGCCAGGTTAAAATGAAAATACTGAAAGTTCTCAATCTTGTTCAAAATCCTCTTCCATTTAAGAAATAAAGCCCAATACATTACATAGGTTGTAAACACTGGAAGATGAGAACCAGGTAAAGATGCTGCCAATATATAGGCAAAAGTAAGTCTTGAGAGCAAAAATAATTTATATATACAAATGCGAATGTTCCTTATGTTTTATATGCACATAAGAAAAGGAGTTTCACAAGTCCATCTAATCCTGAAACAAAACCTCATAGATCTAAGCACAGTCTTTGGCTTAATGCTTGTTCCATTATTATTTTCTGCTTTGCAAGTTTTGCTTCAATGGACTCTATTATGGTAATCGCTTTCCAGATTATACCACAACCTCAACAGGTAAAAGGATAACATATCAACTGACTTGCACCTTGCTGGACAAAAGACAAGTAAGATGTGTAATTTCCATATGTAAAAATATTTAATTCCTCCAAAAAACTCTTCACACTCTGAATCTTGTAGCTCCAAGAGGTAAGTTTTCATACTTAAATAGAAAACCCTATTTTTGAAAACCCTCTTGGGTTAAACAACTAGAAATGCTGGAAAAAATATATCATATTAAAAAAAGACACATAGCTGACGTTTTAGGAAAGAAAAGGCAATCTCTAGATGCTTGGAACTGGAAAAAGCAGGAGGGGCCCCAGGAGGGTTGTCAGTATTGAGTTTTAACACCTGTGGGACAGGATTCAAGAGTTTGTGCCCATGTGAAGGAAGGAGTAGAGAGCTGAATCTGAACAAGTGAAGGACAGGCTGGAAAAATCTTCTCACCAGCTCAGGAGGACAAGGAACCTTCTCTGACTCTGCCCGACCTCTCAGCAGGATCAGCAGAAAGACATTACGCTCTGAAGATGTATCATGGGCTGGCTCCACAGATGAGTGTGAAATTCAAACTTAAAAAACATGTCGACAATGAACCTCCAAGTCAAGAAAGTTAAAACAATAAAAATGGCCTTAGAAAGTGATATCAACAGGATGCCTGGAAGATGCAAATGCAGGTCACTCTGGAAGGACACATCCTCAAACCAGGATACATAGGAGACCC